AAAGAGTTTAGTTCTCTAAACTCGAGTTACCTTCATTCTGGAAGAAAACAGGGTTCAGTGGAAACAGTTCAGGATATCGTTTGGCCATGTCATCTTCCCTTTCCCAAGTGGCATACACGCCACCATGGTTTTGCCAGTCGACTTTCACTAATGGGATCTCTTTGTTTCTCAACTTTTTGATCCGTCGGTTTACAATCTGAATAGGCCGTTCCTCAAAAGTGTAGTCGTCACTCAGCACTACACGAGTTGGCTCTATTACATGGAAAGGATCCCAGAGGTAGTCCCTCAACATAGAAATGTGGAAGACGTTGTGCATATGCTCCATTTCAAGAGGAAGCGCAACTTGATACGCCACCGGATTGATTTTCTCGATAATCTCGTACGGTCCGACATATCTCGGTGCTAACTTGCCTTTACTCCAAAACGAGTCTGGCCTTTCATCGGTGTCACTTTCACAAAAACGTGATCACCCACTTCATACTCTCTGTGTCGTCTTCTAACATCAGGATAACTTTTCTGTCTGCTCTGAGCGATTTTCAGTCTCTGTTGTATCAGTTTCACTTTCTCAGTTGTTTCATAAACAATCTCGGGCCCAAGCAAAGGCCCATCTCCAACTTCTGCCCAGCAAATCGGAGATCTACATTTTCTGCCATACAATGCCTCGAAAGGCGCCATACCAATACTCGAATGGTAGCTGTTATTGTAGGCGAATTCAGCCAATGGCAAATGGCTTTCCCAGTTTCCCTGAAAATCAAGGACACACATTCTCAGTAAATCCTCCAGAGTCTGGATGGTTCTTTCTGACTGGCCATCGGTCTGAGGATGATAAGCACTACTCAATTTCAATTCAGTACCCAATGCAGTCTGTAAGCTTTGCCAAAATCTCGACGTAAACTTCAAATCCCTGCCAGAAACAATGGACACAGGCACTCCGTGTAGTCTAACAATTTCATCAATATAGAGTATAGCCAACTTGTCCGCATTATAAATTGTCTTAACAGGTAAGAAGTGAGCAGATTTAGTCAGCCTATCAACAATAACCCAAATTGAGTCTATACCTTTACTAGAGCGAGGTAATCCAATAATAAAATCCATGGTAATATGTTCCCATTTCCACTCCGGTATCGGTAAGGGCTGCAATAAGCCTGCGGGTCGTTGATGTTCGGCTTTGACTTGTTGGCAATGAAGACATTTTGATACAAAATCGACAATTTCTTTCTTCATTCCCGGCCACCAGAAATTCAGTTTCAGATCTTGATACATTTTCGTATTCCCTGGATGGATAGAAAATTTTGAATTGTGGCCCTCTTGCAGAACTCTTCCTTTCAGTTCAGTATCATTCGGTACACACAGTCTTTCTTGAAATTTCAGTACATTATTTTCAAATTTGAATCCCGATCTTGGTTTAGTTTCCCTTTCTTCGATGATCTTCTTCAAGAAGTCATCTTGTTGCTGTTTCTCTTTAATCTCTTCAATCAGTGCCGGTTGAGCAGAAATAGTAGCTAAGGTTCCACCTTGTTCTCGTACAACAATTTCAATTTCAGATTTTTCAAGGTCACAAAGCAATTCTTTCTGCCCGGTAAGCAAACAGGCTAAATTTGCAGTCGATTTCCGACTCAATGCATCGGCAACGGTGTTGGCTTTTCCCGGATGGTACAGAATCTGTAGGTCATAGTCTTTAATCAGTTCTAGCCATCTCCGCTGTCTCATGTTCAGTTCTTTCTATGTGAAGAAATATTTCAAACTCTTATGGTCGGTATATACTTCACATGTTGCCCCATAAAGGTAGTGATGCCTGATTTTTAGTGCAAATACTACTGCAGCAAGTTCCAGATCATGGGTCGGGTAGTTCTTTTCATGCGGTCTCAGTTGTCAGGAAGCATAGACAATTACTCTCCCGTTCTGCATTAAAACACACCCCAAACCCTTATGAGAAGCATCACTAAATATGGTATAACCATCTGTACCTGAAGGTAAGGTAAGAACTGGTGCAGTCACGAGTCGAGTCTTCAACTCTTGGAAAGCCGATTCCCTTTGGTCAGTCCAGTCAAATGATATTCCCTTCTGTGTCAGTTGAGTTAATGGTAAGGAAATTTTGGAAAAGTCTTTGACAAATCTTCTGTAATACCCGGCTAGTCCCAAAAAGCTTCGAACTTCTGTCACATTTGTTGGTCTAGGCCAGTTCACTACAGCTTCAATTTTCTGTGGATCAACAGAAATTCCATCTTTGCTAACAACATGCCCCAAAAACATAACATGATCAAGCCAGAATTCGCATTTAGACAGTTTAGCATAAAGTTTCTGTTCTCTTAGGGTCCGTAGGGCAAGTCTCAGATGATGTTCATGTTCTTCTATACTTTTGGAGTAAATCAGTATGTCATCAATGAATACAACAATAAAGTCATCAAGGTACGGTTTAAAGATTCTGTTTATTAGGTCCATAAATGCAGCAGGTGCATTGGTAACTCCAAAAGGCATAACTAAAAATTCGTAATGTCCATACCTCGTTCGAAAAGCAGTTTTATCAATGTCTTCTGGTTTAACTTTCAACTGATGGTATCCGGATCTGAGATCGATCTTAGAAAATACTTGTGCACCCTGTAGCTGATCAAACAAGTCATCAATACGTGGCAATGGGTATTTATTTATAATATTCCCAACTTTTCATCTAGAGCCAAACACACTCTTATGTTAAACTCCATTTGGGATATCTAAACCCAACTCCAAACTTGATGGTAGGTGTGACCAAACACCCCATTTCAACACAAAAAAAAAATAGAAGTGCAGATTTTTTTTTTCTTCATTGTCTTCATTCTTCATTCTCTAACTTCTCTCTACTTTCTCTCTCATTTTCCTTTACTTTCTTGGAGGCCAAACACCACACCTTTGCTCCACCCTTACACCACCACCTTAACCCACCATCTCCATCACCTCCGGCCACCTTATCTCGCCGGAAATAGGGTCCGGTCGGCCACTCCTTAAATCCATCCAAAAATAACACAATAGAAGCACCAACTCTAGATTTTTCTTAATCTTTTGAAGAATCAAAGCATGGGATTTATTTTCTTGATGGATTAGAGGCTTGTAATTGGTAAGAATCTTTCTCTAAAAGTTTAGTTTAAGGTTTTACATATTTTGAGTTAGAGATGATGAAATTTTTGTGTTTTAGATCTATTATGATTTGGGGTTTGCTTGTTGAATTTTATACTCTCAATTAGTTTCCATGAATGTTTTACATGTTCAAAAAAAAAATGGTCAATTTGATGGTTGATTTGGAGATTTAGATTTTTGGGTTAATCTAGGGTTTGAATGTGATGTAAAAATTGGGGATTTTGGTGTTAGGGAATTTATATGTTGAAATTGAGTTGATAAATGATGGATTGGGTATCTCTATGTTCTATGGAGGAATTTTATAAGTGATTGAAGAGATTTTACTTAAGTTGTTGAGTTTATACAAAAATGTTGATTTTTGACTTTTGTAGTAAATTGATGGTGGTATTGTGCATATAAATTGATTGGATATTTAAAAAGTTACTAACTCAAAGATGTTCAAAGGATGTGTGAGAGAGCATGTTCAGTTATCGTCACTGGCAATTCTACTCGTGACCTTGGAGGTGGTCAGTACTTATACTCTTATTTATTTATTTGTTAATAGATAAATAGTGTCTTACAGACTTTGATTTACAAAATTTAAAACACAATTGTTCATTCTTTATATCATGTACTCTCATAAAGAATATACAATTATTTCATACTTACCAACTATCTCGTCTTTATGACACTCTTTAACAAAATCCGTGATTTAAAGTGATATTTTGGTGACTAAATGTAGTATGAAACTTATGCATTCTTGCGTATTAATCATGACTTAAAATGTTTTATTTTTATTTTTATTTTTAAATTGTGGCATTGTGTTTTGGTTATGACCCAATATAATGTTTTAATTATGAATCAAAATGATGTTGATTATAAGACAATAGTATTTTACTAATTTCACAATCAAGACACGCAACCTTTTCTAAGTTATTAATAATAATAATAATGTTAGAATGATCGTATTAATCTATCACTTTTTATGTTGTATTTATCATCTCATATGTTGTGATTACATTGATAACCGATGAAAATGATGAAACCCATTAAATGTTTTTAAGTTGTGCAGTGTACCAGCACCCTTCCTTCAATATAGCTGGTTAATCAATTATAAATTTTTTTTGGCAGTGATTCCATCATCAGATGGAAAGAGAAGCATGATGAAACTGGCACAAAGGATGATAAACAATTTTTGTGGGAGCATCAACCCATCCAACGGTCACCAGTGGACCACATTTTCAGGGTTAAATGAAGTTGAAGTCCGAGCCAGCCTTCACAAGAGTACCGATCCAGGCCAGCCCAGTGGTGTGGTCCTCAGTGCTGCTACAACCATTTGGGTCCCTGTTTCTCCCCAAAATGTTTTCAATTTCTTTAGGGATGAACGTACTCGACCTCAGGTATATTCAATTCCTACATTATATGTAGGACTCGACTTATCTCCATTTCATCATGTGGACTGGACCGTGTTGTCTGGACCGTAAGACTCACCGCAAATTCACTTCCATGGTTCAATCTATTTGTTTTTTATGTCATTGTGGGTAGAAGATGCATGGAAAACATAAAATTGATAAAAAATAATTACACCTACATTATTTTATTATGTCTCCAAAAAAAAATATATATATATATATAGAAGTGCAGATTTTTTTTCTTCATTCTTCATTCTCTAACTTCTCTCTACTTTCTCTCTCATTTTCCTTTACTTTCTTGGAGGCCAAACACCACACCTTTGCTCCACCCTTACACCACCACCTTGACCCACCATCT